GATATGAGAAGAACATTTCATATCTCTGATATAGAAGAGTTAAATCTGCTTATACATTAACAAGTAAAGAGAATGATTTGCAAGATCTCATCTGAAAGCATTCTGTATGTTATACAGAATCTAGAAGTGAAGGAAATCAAGATAAAGAATATGTGAGAGAACAAGTGTATGAAGAAGCTTCTGAAGAAGTATGAGAAGATCTTTCGAACAGATCTTTCACTGAAATTGCTGCCAGAATGAGGATTTCTACATGAGATTGACATGAGAAATGCAAAATCAGTTAATCAGAATGCATATTCTCTGTCACAAATGCATCTTGAAGAACAGAAATGTCAGATCACAGATCTTCTAGAATGTAATCTCATATGATTCTTATTAAGTACATGAGGCTTTTCAGTTCTATTTATGAAAAAGGCAGATGAGAAGTGATGAATATGTATTGATTATTGAGCACTCAATAAGCTTATAATTAAGAATGAATATTCACTGTCACAGATTCAACAACAGTTGAATACAGTTGAAAATATCTGATATCTATTAAAGATTAATCTTCTCTCAGAATACTGACAGATCTGTGTAGATAAACTATCAGTTCTGTGAATCATGTTTAATATATAATAAGAAAAGTTTGAATTTCTGATAATACTATTCAGTCTGATAAATGTATCTATCATCTTTCAAATAATGATGAATACAATTCTGTATAAACAGAATGAAATCTCATATCTTATATATCTCAATGATATTCTAGTCTTTTCAAACTTATATAATGAATATCTGAAGTATCTCAATGAAGTGCTTATAACTCTGACAGAGTATAAGCTCTACATCAAATCAACAAAGTATGTATTTGAAATGAAAGAGTTGAAGTTCATAGAATATGTAGTGAGTGATAACTGTATACACTTCATCTCAGAGAAATTGAATATTATAGTGAATTGACTGTGACTGAGAAATGTATATTATATATAACAGTTTCTTGAGTTGATCTCATATTACTGCAGATTTATCAAGGATTTTGTATGAATATCTGCATCACTCTCAGATCTCTTAAGAGAAATAGATGCAAATCTGTAAAAGAAGAAGTTTTGTTCAATTATCTGAAATGCTGTGTGTGAAGAGGCTTTTCTCACACTGAGAGAATGTGTAATAATATTCTCAGTGCTTATTCAATCAGATCATGATAAATCTTTCTACATTGAGACAGATGTATCTGAATGAGTTATCAGAGACACTCTTCTACAGATAAGTAAGAATAGCAAGCTGTACTCAGTGATATATAATAATAGAAAACTATTAGATGCTGAGCTCAATTACTCAGTGCAGAAAAAGAAATTGCTAGTGATTAAGCATATACTGATATTGTAAGATAGATATATTAACAACAGATATACAATAACAGTGATTATGAATTATGAAAGTCTTGTCTATCTATAATTAATAATAAAATCTTTCAAACACTTAGTATGTTGAATCTCAGAGTTCTAAGTATATAATCTTTAGATTACATATTGAAAGAAATTGAATACTGTAATATCTGATGATACAATGAGTCACAGACCTGATTTCATAAGTGAGAATTCTACAAATCAGATATAAGAGAAGTTTGTATTAAATATACTGAGAGAGTGTAAGAAATCAGAGTGAGTAAACATTATAATCTCTTACTTAAAGAATGATAAGATATTAAATGATAAGTATCTCATGAGAGTAGTAGAAGAGATACTTCTGAACTTTAAGCTGAGAAAATTGAAAAATGACATTTTGCTTTACTGTGATCTAGAATATGCAGAAGCTTTCTATTTAGAATCTTTATTTAGACATGACTTAATAGCTCATATGCACAAGGTATGCAGTCACTTAGAAAGCTCTAAACTCATAAGTGTACTTGAATCAAGAGTATACTGACTAAGCATGACTGAGAACATTCAGATGTATACTCACAAGTGTCTGAATTATCAGGTTATAAAAGAATCTAAGAAAGGGTTAGAATGTGAGAAAGTATAATATTAGATAAAGTGTACAATATAACTGTTTAAATAATGAGAAGTGAATCTCATAGACATATTACTACAAATATCAAATGAAAATTGATGAATAATCACTGCTATTAATTATACTACTCACTGATCAGTTATGAAAGCAGTTTCAGAGATGATAGAGAAGATGATAGTGAAGTTTCTATATAATGAGATCTATGTTAACTATGAAATATCACACAAGATTCTGACTGATAACAGTGTGAATCTTATAGAAGAAGCAGTGAGGCATTTCATAAGTCAGTTACAGATAAGATATTGTAGAACAACATTATATCATCTGCAGATAAATGAAAAGATGAAACACTTGAATAAAATCTTGAATAACATGCTGATGAAATATCTAGTGAGTAAGTCTATAAGACTATGAAATGAATATCTCAGACAGATGCTACTGATCACATAGATTCAACAGTATACAGTCTTCAAGTATTCATCATTCTATCTGTTATATGAATTGCATCCACGCATTCTGAAGAATGCTTTGAAAAAGATAAGAGAGAAAACAGTAGTTGCAGACACAGCAGTAGCAGTTGCAGACATAACAGTTACAGATGTGAAATCAAGATTGAAAGAAATCAGTCATATATATATAAAATCTAATAAGTTACTTCTGAACTGAGCAATTCAATTGAAAAGAATATAAGACTCACTAGTTAAGAGAATGAGTCTTAAGATGAGAATGTAAGTTCTTGTATGCAATAAGAGTTCTGAGAAGTTTCAATCTAGATAATTTAAGTCATATAAAATACTCAAATCACATTCTCTGAGAATATATACATTGAAAGAATCAGAGAGACAGATCTTACACAACTTAATAAATAATTCATGACTTATAAAAGCAAAGATGTAAGACTTAAGTGAATTATAATTATTCACAGCACTATTATCAGTATTAAAAAAGAAGAAGCTTATAATTAAAAAGTCTTATAAAGTAAGAGAAATCATAGACACTTACGAATTGAATAATCTTACTTATTTCAATCTTTTCACAATTATAAGAAAAGAATGAGAAGAAATAAAGAAATCAGATAAATATCACACTTTAATAAGTGATAAGACTGTAGTCAGTTATGCAATAATATACTGCAGACAATGAACACAATATGATAAAGAGCAGTCTCAAAGTGACAGACTTACACATAAGTCAGATTGCAGAAAAAAAAGAAATTCAGAGTTGAATTCAATCATTTATATTAGTTTAATCACAGAGATAACAGAGAATAAAGCATCTGAAATATTCACAGATATATGAGATTAAGTCATCTCAATCTCTGAGAATGCTTAGAGATCAGATAAGATTAGTTTTAATGAGCTGTTTACTATAGTGATTTAAGTGAGTGAAGAGAGATAGTATAATATGTGAGACAGAATTATAAAAGATGAAAGCTGCTGAACCTAGTCACTGAATACTGTATTATATAGAGATTGTATAAGAGTAGTGACTAGCAGACAAAGAAAAAGTATAAGAAAAGAAAAGAAATAATGAATTGATCATCAACTGTAAGAGTCAGCTGTAAAAGATAAATATTATCATACATACTTTATTTATTTTTATACATCATATATTAATCTATTTTCAACATCACATTATCTGAAAAACATTAGAAACAAAGAAAATCTCAAAACTTGAGATCTGTAAGAAATTTAAGAGCTGTAAGTTACTCTTATAATAACACTGTATATATCTTCAATTCCTCTACTGCTCTGTATACAACATTAATATCATTTATCACAAGATTGACTGAAATGTCAATATAGAAATGTATATACATATACATAGAAAAATTGAAGAAGAGCATGAAACTTACAGAATTAGAAGCCAGAGAAGAGAGAATAGAATGAAAGAAATAGAAGAAGAAGAAGATGCAGAACTGAATAAATAATAGCAGAAGTCACTCAGAGCTGAATACTTATAACTCAGTATATACACAATCTTCTTCACAGAACAGAAAGACAAAGTGATGAGAGAAGCTTGAGAGTAGAAGAGAATAGTCTCAGTAGTGTTATTATCTTTGATTAGAATAGTCTCTGACACTGAAGTAACTAAGAATCATTATTAGTATATGAAAATTATAAAATCAGAGATGAGAATAGTTACTGAATGAATATCTGCTGACCTTAGAGTTATACATATAATTATAACATATATGAGACTTCTCAGAAAGAGAGAGAGAGACACAGAGAAATGCAGAAAGTAGAATACAGTGTATGAACAGCTCATTTTTATAATAATATCTCAGATAAGATGTATAAGTCTCATACTTATAGATTGTGGTTCGGAAGAACGTACGACCGTCGGATAATACCGCGGCCGCTTCCGAACTACTAGCGTACGCGTATGAGTGTAAAGGGGCCATAGCGTATGCTAATTAATTTAGTGTATGAGATTACAATATAAGAAGCCGGCGTACGCCTGTAATTGTACACTGGCTTAAGCAACCTTTGAATCACATCTGGTAGCATGTCTAAAAACCGGTGAGGAGCGCAGGCTCCTCCAGGGCGTGATAATTCTGTCTATGAAGTGATTTGTAGTTATCATGTCAGTGTGGTCCTAGAACACCTCAAAAGATAGTGTATGAAGGGCAGTGAGTGGAAGAGCATCTGATTGATGCTGCTTCACTTGTTGAGGGAAAACTCCACACCCAGGTGAATGCCACATATGAGACACAAACAGATGAGATGTGAGAAAGGGGATGGGAGCGGTGAACCAGATTCAAAGGAGTCCACTCCCTACTCAAAAGAAGGATAAAAGGGGGGGTGACCATCACTGGAGTCGTACAATGATAACAGAGCAATATAGCAATATAATAATATAGTGATATAACAATACAGTGATATAGTGATATAACAATACAGCAATAATGATAGACATTGTATGATCAATGAGAAATCACTGAAATGAATACCTTCTCTAGCTGATATGAATAACACCCTTCTCTGCTACCTGAACTGGAAGGTATGCAGAACCTCTCAGAGGGTTTACTTGAAGCAGTAAGAAAAGCAGCTGAGATCACTGAACTGGAATTGAAGCTCTGTACATGTACAAGGATTCTAAATGAGATTGAGGCCTTGCATACACAGTGGCAGGCTGAGGTGGAGGTCAAACAACAATTGACATTTGCTGCAGACCAAGCATTCACTATGAAGAGCTTCACCGACGCAATCACCACCATCAATAAGAATAGAGAAAACCAGATCTTAGGCCTGCAGCAGGAGATCAAATGTTTACACAGACAGGTGACTACACTGAACCTGGAGGTCCCATCATGATTGTTCATGACCTCTTCAGGAGTATACACATCATCAGAGACCGCTGCGCAGGATGAGAATCTGAGCATGGGATACATCAAGCCAGGAGATCTGTCAAAGCCATCAAGCTTCAATGGTGACTGAAAAAATGATGCTGCAATCAGCTGGCTAAGTCAGATGCAATTATATTATTGAATTGAATGTGAACTCACAGGCAGGCAGTCAACAGAATTTCAACAAGTCTTAAGATCTGCCGCATTTCTACGCGGAAAAGTGAAGTCATTATGAATGGCTGATGAAAAGATAAACCTCACAGACCTGGAGTGATATTCATTCTCATGAACATGAAATGAGTTTTCCAAATGAATCTTGCACAACTTTGAGGAAGTAGATGTGTGAGACAAGTGTTATGAATGCTTCACTGAGTGTAGATAAGTGAGTGATCTTACATTGTACTTCACATACTTCAGTTTACACTATCTTGCATTGAATGAAGAGCTTTCAACATCTTTCTGTTTACAGATCTTCATTCATGGTCTTACACCTGAGTTGAGAGTGGAATGAAAATGCTTAATCTCACAGTCAGACACAGTGGAGAAAGCATACAATATCCTCATCATATGGGAATAAGCGAGTCAATTGTGACAGAAAATACTGCAATTGAGTATGCCCCAGTGGAGAATGAATAATCAGACTTCTATGACATAAGCCACACACCCAGACATGATGGATCTAGATCTGAATGCCATTGCTAAAGCACTGAATCCCCTGAAAAAGGGATCCCCTGGGTGGAAACCTTGGTGTCGCGAGCATCGAGCTTGTTTCAACTGCAGACATCAAAATCATGGTGTAAAAGATTGCACTCAACATACACAGTCAAAAAACTAGCAGGATCAGTGAGCTCAGAGGCACTCACTGATATTCTATGAAAAGCCTTCAAAGTGAAAGAGATGCCTGCGTTAGATGATCCTCTGGATCCTGCGAATGCAAAGAAGAAGCAGGCTCCCAAATGAGGTGCAGGCGAGGATGATGAAGTGGACGCTCACCTCAATGCCTTGAGGCCCGAAATGTTAATGTATAGAGGGCACTTGGGTAAGAATTGAGAGGTGGCTGCAAAAGTGTTAGCAGACACAGAAGCTTCTACACAATATATTGATGATCATATGATTTGAAGATTGAAAGGGGTCCACCGAGTGAAGGATCCCTGATGCATAAGATTACCTGATAATCAATATTTGATATCACCTGCAAGAGTAAGAGTTCCCTTGCACTTTGGAGAATGGTCTTGCTATATTTGGGCGCGAGAGCTGCAGAACGTGGAATACAACCTTATTCTCAGACTCAATTGGTTTCAAAGGTTCAATCTGCAGATTCAATGGTGAACATGCCATATGCAGTTGACTGATAGGAAGAAAATGGTTCATACAATTCTATCAACTGATATGAGAAGGACATTCCACATCTCTGATATAGAAGGGTTAAATCTGCTTACACATCAACAAGTAAAGAGGACGATTTGCAAGACCTCATTCAAAAGCATTCTGTATGTCATACAGGACCTGGAAGCAGAGGAAACCAAGATAAAGAATATGTGAGAGGACAAGTGTATGAAGGAGCTTCTGAAGAAGCATGGAAAGGTCTTCTGAACAGACCTTTCACCAGAATTGCTGCTGGAACGAGGATTCATACATGAGATTGACACAGGGGATGCAAAACCAGTCAACCAGAATGTGTACCCCCTGTCACAAACATACCTTGAAGAACAGAAGTGTCAGATCACTGACCTTCTAGAATGTGGTCTCATACAACTCTCATCAAGTGTGTGGGGCTTTCCAGTCCTATTTGTGAAAAAGGCGGGTGGAGAGTGATGGATGTGTATCAATTATCAAGCACTCAACAAGCTAATGATCAAGAATGAATATTCACTGCCATGAATTCAACAACAGTTGGATACAGTTGGAAATGCCTGATATCTATTGAAGATTGATCTTCTCTCAGGATACTGGCAGATCTGTGTAGACAAACTGTCAGTCCCGCGAACCGCGTTTAATACACAATGAGGGAAGTTTGAATTCCTAGCAATGCCATTCAGTCTGACAAATGCGCCCATCATCTTTCAAATGATGATGAATACAATCCTTCATAAACAGAATGGAACCTCATGCCTTGTATATCTTGATGACATCCTAGTCTTTTCAAACTCATATGATGAACATCTGAAGCATCTTGATGAAGTGCTTACAACTCTGACAGAGCATAAGCTCTACACCAAATCAATCAAGTGTGTGTTTGAAACAGAAGAGTTGGAGTTCATGAGACATGTAGTAAGTGATGGCTGTATACACCCCATCTCAGAGAAATTGAATGTCATAGCGAATTGACCGCAGCTGAGGAATGTACATCATGTATGACAGTTTCTTGAGTTGGCCTCATATTACTGCAGGTTCATTAAGGATTTCACACAAATATCTGCATCACTCTCAGATCTCTTAAGAGAAATGAATGTAAATCTGTGAAAGAAGAAGTTTTGTTCAATCATCTGAAATGCTGCGTGTGAAGAGGCTTTTCTCACACTGAGAGAATGTGTAACAACATCCCCAGTGCTTATTCAACCAGATCATGATAAACCTTTCTACATTGAGACAGACACATTCAAATGGGCTATCAGAGGCGCCCTTCTACAGATGAGCAAGGACAGCAAGCTGCACCTGGTGGTGTACAATGGTAGGAAACTATCAGGCGCTGAGCTCAATTACCCAGTGCATGAAAAGGAATTGCTAGTGATCAAGCATGCACTGGTGTTGTGAGATAGATATATTGACAACAGGCATACAACAACAGTGATCACAGATCATGAAAGCCTTGTCTATCTACAATCAATGACAAAACCTTTCAAATGCTTAGCATGTTGAATCTCAGAGTTCCAAGTGTATGATCTTCATATCAAATACTGAAAGGAATTGAATGCAGTGATGCTGGACACAATCAGTCACAGACTTGATTTCATGAGTGAGGGTCCTGTGAACCAGGCACAAGAAACATTTGTGTTAAACACACTGAGGGGATGCAAGGAATCAGAATGGGTGAACACCATGATCTCTTGCTTAGAGGATGGCAAGGTGTCAGATGACAAGTGTCTCACAAGAGTAGTAGAAGAGATGCTTCCGAACTTCAAGCTGAGGAAATTGAGAAACAAAAATGACATTGTGCTTTACTGTGATCTAGAATACACAGAAGCTCTCTATCTAGAACCTTCATTTAGACACAACTTGGTGGCTCATATGCACAAGGAATTCGGCCACTTAGGAAGCCCTGGACTCATGGGTGTACTTGAACCAAGAGTGTACTGACCAAGCATGGCCGAGGACATCCAGGCATACACTCACAAGTGCCTGAATTGCCAGGTCGCGAAAGGATCTAAGAAAGGGTTAGAACATGAAGAAGCACAACATCAGGTGGAGTGTACAATACAACTGTTCAAACAATGAAGGATGAACCTCATAGGCATATTGCCGTGAACGCCAAATGGAAATCAATGGATAATCACTGCTATTGATTATGCTACTGGCTGGCCAGTCATGAAAGCAGTTTCAGAGGTGACAGAGGAGGTGGTGGTGAAGTTCCTACATGATAAGATCTATGTCAACTATGGAATGCCGCGCGAGATTCTAACTGATAACAGTGTGAACCTTGTAGAAGGAGCAGTGAGGCATTTTGTGAGCCAGTTACAGACAAGACATTGTAGAACAATGCCATATCATCCACAGACAAATGGGAAGATGGAACACTTGAATGAAATCTTGGGCAACATGCTGACAAAATATCTAGTGAGTAAGCCTATGAGACTATGGGATGAATATCTCAGGCAGACACTATTGATCACATGAATTCGACAGCATGCAGTCTCCAAGCATTCACCATTCTACCTGTTGTATGGATTGCATCCGCACATCCCGGAGAATGCTTCAGAAAAGGTGGGGGAGGGAACAGCAGTTGTGAATGCAACAGTCACAGACACGGAACCAAGATTGAAAGAGATCAGTCATGCACGCGCAAAAGCTAACAAGTTACTCCTGAACTGAGCAATCCAATTGAAAAGAATACAAGACTCACTTGTTAAGAAATCAAGTCTCAAGATGAGAACATGAGTTCTCATACACAATGAGAGTTCTGAGAAGTTCCAACCTAGGTGGTTTGAGCCATATAAAATACTCAAATCACATCCTCTGAGAATGTACACATTGGAAGAATCAGAGAGACAGGTCTTATGCAACTTAATCAATGATTCATAACTTGTGAAAGCAAGGATGCAAGACTTGAGTGGATTATAGTCATCTGCAGCACTATTGTCAGCATTGAAAAAGAAGAGACTTACAATTGAAAAGCCTCACAAAGTAAGAGAAATCATAGATGCTTACAAATCAGATGATCTCACTTATTCTGACCTTTCCACAATTACAAGGAAAGAATGGGAAGAAATGAAGAAATCAGGCAAACACCACACTTCAATAAGTGATGAGACTGTAGCTGATTGTATGATAACACACTGCAGACAGTGAGTGCAATGCAGTAAAGAGCAGTCTCAAAGCAGCAGACTTGCACATGAGTCAGATTGCAGAAGAAAAAGGAATTCAGAGTTAAATTCAACTGTTTACATCAGTTCAATCATGAAGACCACAGAGAATGAACTATCTGAAACATCCGCGGATGTGTGGGACCAAGCCATCTCGACCCCTGGGGATGCTCAGAGGTCAGGTGAGGTTAGTTTTGATGAGCTGTTCACTGTAGTGGTCTGAGTGAGTGAAGAGAGACAGTATAATGCATGAGGCAGAATCACAAAGATGAAAGCTGCTGAACCTAGTCACTGAATGCTGTATCATATAGAGGTTGTGTAAGAGTAGTGACTAGCAGATAAAGAAAAAGTGTAAGAAAAAGAAAAGAAATAATGAATTGATTATCAACTGTAAGAGTCAGCTGTAAAAAGACAAATGTTATCATACACATCTCATTCATTTTCATATGTCACATGTTTAATCTATTTTCAACATCACATCATCTGAAAAACATTAAAAACAAAGGAAATCTCAAAACTCAAGATCTGCAAGGGATTCAAGAGCTGCAAGCTGCTCTCACAACAACATCACATATATCTCTGATTCCTCTATCACTCTGTGTACAACATTAATGTCATTTATCACAAGATTGACTGGAATGCCAATATAGGAATGCATATGCATACACATAGAGAAATTGAAGAAGAGTGCGGGACCTGCAGAACCAGGAGCCAGAGCAGGGGAAACAGAGACAAAAGAAATAGAAGAAGGAGGCACAGAACTGAATGAACAATGATAAGAGCCACCCAGGGCTGAACACTTACAACCTGGTATATGCACAATCTTCTCTGCAGAGAAGGGAGAGAAAATGACAGAAGAAGCTTGAGAGTGGAAGAGAGTAGTCTCAGCAGCATTGTCATCTTTGATTAAAATGGTCTCTGGCACTGAAGCAACTAAGAACTATTGTTAGCATACAAAACCGCAGAATCAGGGATGAGAACAGTTACTGAACAAACACCTGCTGACCTTAGAATTGTACATGTAATTACAACACACACAAGGCTTCTCAGAAAGAGAGAGAGAGACATAGGAGAATGCAGGAAGCAGAACACAGTGTGCAAACAGCTCATTCCCACAATAACATCCCAGACAAGGTGTATGAGCCTCACGCCCGCGGGTGTAAAAGAGAACAATATTCACATTCCCATTCCTGAAAACATGGATATCTTTTGCCTGCACCACAAAGTCAGATGACAGACACCAGAGAATAGGCTGATACAGATCTATCATCCTGAAAGAATTCATCAGAGCAGATATCTTCACAATGTTGAACTTTACAGTTATAAAAAGCTTCTTGATATCTGTGAATGTCACAACTTCATACACAGCAAAACTCATAATGATTTCCTCTAAGAACAGAAAAATCAGTGTTAGAAGAAAAAGATGAAAAATGAAAAGACTTACAATCTAGACACTGTTGAGAGAGGGGGTGATTCTCTGATATAAATGAATGATTGTTTCACCATGAATATTTAAAATGAATGTAATAATCAGTGTTCATGACTGAGCTTCAGATAGTTGTGTTGTACATCATCTTCATACAATAAATTGTTCTAAAAGTTGGCAAGAAGGGTGGGAGTGTACACATGGGGAGACATGGTTCATTAAGCCTACACAACATCTTCTTGAAACAGGGAGAGCTGGTAACAAAAGCAGAGGCAGCAAAACCAGGAGTAGCAGGAGTGGGGGTCGCGGGAACAGGGGTAGCGGGAGCGGGAGAACCAGACACAGGGGCAGGTGTAGGAGATTGAGGGGGAGCGGCGGAGGAAGGAACAGAGGGGGCAGGAGGGGACATAGAAGACCCAGCCACACATGGCACAGGCAATTCCTCCATTATCACATCCTCCAAGTTCTCAATCAATGATTCAACATTGGGTTCACTATCATCAGCAGACACAAATCTGTCAACACATGAAGATTCTACATGAATAAAAACAAACATATCAGCATCTGCATCCATGCAAATCATGCCAGAAAACATGATCAGGAACCCACTGAGAGAGAAACAGTCAAGGGCATACAAGGAGGTGAAGAGGGCATATGAGGAGTTAGAAAAGATGTGCCATCCATGATAGTATGTTCTAGCAATCATTAGAAGATAAACAAGTCCTGACCACATTTCACAATGTGTTACACTTACTGCTAACAAACTGCCTGATATGAGCACTACAATGACACTTGTTGTGGGAATGAGAGGCCATTGCCAGGAACACATATGATGTGATAGGTGGACAGATAGAAAGAGTTGAACAGGAGGAGGGGTAGGAATCTTGAATAGTGGTGGTGTTCGATGATGATGAAATGGAGAAGATGGTTGGAGAATGGGAAAAGTTAGTGGATGAGTGGTGTAATATAGTGGAAGTTTCTTTGTGAGGGTGTACACAGGATGCTAGCTGAATCAGGGATAGGTCACACAATCATGAAATGCTAGTGGCAAGCTAATCCGCATGAAGCTAGGGTGTACAACATGGTCACATGAGCGTGATCGAATCTGGTGGGGGAGGATGTGATTTGGAAGAATGTATGACTGTCGGATAATACCGCGGCCGCTTCCGAACTACTAGCATACACGTACAAGTGTAAAGGGGCCATAGCGTACACTAATTAATTTAGCGTACAAGATTACAATATAAGAAGCCGGCGTACGCCTGTAATCGTACGCTGGCTTAAGCAACCTTTGAATCACAAGATGTAAAAGAGTATAATATTCATATTCTCATTTCTGAAAATATGAATATCTTTTGCCTACATTATGAAGTCAGATAACAGATGTCAGAGAATAGATTAATACAGATCTATCATTCTAAAGAAATTCATCAGAGTAGATATCTCTATAATATTAAACTTTACAGTTATAAAAAGTTTCTTAGTATCTGCAAATATTATAACTTTGTGTATAATAAAACTTATAATGATTTTCTCTAAGAATAGAAAAATCAGTATCAGAAAGAAAAGATGAAAAGAAAAAGACTTATAATTTTAACACTGTTAAGAGAGAGAGTGATTCTCTGATATAAATGAATAATTATCTTATTATAAATATTTAAAATGAATATAATAATCAGCATCTGTGACTGAGCTTTAGATAGTCATGTCATACACTGTCTTTATACAATAAATTGTTCTAGAGATTGATAAGAAGAGTGAGAGTGTATATACTGAAAAACATGATTCACTGAGTCTATGCAATATCTTCTTAAAACAGAGAGAGCTAGTAATGAAGGCAGTAGTAGAAGCAGAAGTAGTAGAAGTAAAGATTGCAGAAATAGAAGTAGCAGAAGCGGGAGAAGCAGACACAGAGATAGATGTAGAAGATTGAGAGAGAGTGACAGAGAAAGAAATAGAGAGAGTAGAAAGAAATACAGAAGATCTGATTATATATAATACAGATAATTTCTTCATTATCATGTTCTTCAAGTTCTCAATCAATGATTCAATATTGAGATTATAATTATTAGCAGACATGAATCTGTCAACATGTGAAGATTCTATATGAATTAAAACATCAGTATCTGTAATTATACAATATAATCAGAAAAACATGATCAGATATCACTGAAGAAAAGAGAATTAAGAATGTATAAGAAGATAAAGAAGATATATCATTTATAATAGTATATTCTGATAATTGTTAGAAGATAAATAAGTCCTGATCATATTTCACAATGTATTATTCTTACTGCTAACAAACTGCCTGATATGAGCACTATAAGAACACTTGTTATGAGAACAGAGAGTCATTATCAGAAACATGTATAATATAATAGATAAATAGATGAAAAGAGTTAAACAGAAGAAGAAATAGAAATCTTGTATAAGATAGTAGTATTTAATAATAATGATGATGAAGAAGATAATTGAAGAATGAGAAAAGTTAGTAAATAAGTAATATAATATAGTGAAAGTTTCTTTGTAAGAATGTACACAGAACACTAGCTGAATCAGAGATAGACTACATAATCGCGAACACTAGTGACACGCTAATCCGCATGAAGCTAGAGCAGTGTCATGATCACGTGAGCGTGACTGAATCTGATGAGAGAGAATGTAATTTGAAAGAATATACATCTGTTGAATAACAGAAAGCAGAAAACTTGACCTTACTAAGTGCATCACTTGACCTCGTTATGTAAGCTGACCTTGCAAATGTGACCCGTGTCACTACCTGACCTTACTCAATACATCTTTTCTTGTAATTTGAAATCACTCTTTCTTTCTTATTATTATTATTATTATTATTATTATTATTCTTTTATTATACTCATATGCAAGCGGAGCTTATGATGAGTCCTTGCATGATGTTAAATACAGGCCAAGTGTTAGTTATACAGGAGGAAATACAGGTGTTGAGACCATGCCAAGATAACAAGAACATAGGAAATACAAAGAAGTGACAATTAGATACATGCAATAATAACTTCCCAGCCCAGGAACATAGAGCGATTTATTGGAGTGATTTGTACACCTCTGTATTTATTAGAAACCTGAGGTGCTTGAGTTCCGGATTTAATGTATCCCCTGCGGGTTTCGAACTCACACGCCTTGGTTTCCCACACCAAGGCACTACCGGGTGGCCGCATTAACCATTTGGTCACCGGGGCACTCTTTCTTTCTTAATTATTTACCATCAATTCTACAATTAATTCAAAATCAATTTAAAATCAATTTAATACTGAAATTATTCTTGAATTTAATAATAAAGTAAGTATTTATATAATTTACACTGAATTGATTATTAACTGATTTTCAATCAATTATTAATTACTTAAATATACAGATTGAATTTATTTTATTACTATAATTAATTAACAATTAATTCAGAATCAATTCAAAATCAATTCAAAATTAATTTAATACTGAAATTATTCTTGAATTTAATAATAATACTGAATTGATTATCAACTGATTTTCAATCAATTATTAATTACTTAAATATATAGATTAAATCTATTTTTATTACTATAATTAATTCAGAATCAATTTAAAATCAATTCAAAATCAATTCAAAATCAATTATGAAATATTTTTATCTTGATATATTTTAAAATTCTGTAAAACATCTCTTTATATTCTATATAAATTTATCTGTTTATTTAATTGATTATGAATCAGCTATACATGCTTTGATTGATTGATGAGCTGAATGAATAAGTGAATTGAAAGATTGAAAGTCAATTACCAACTGATTATTACTGTATTATACGAGGTCAGAGTCATGATTATGTAATAAGGTCAAGTGACGCACTTAGCAAGGTCAAGTTTTCTGTATACATATTGAATAATAACGCGGCTGCTTCTGAACTTGCTTACAAATGTAAAGAGGCCATAGCAGTCACTAATTAATTTAGCGTACGATCTATAAGAAGCCGGCGTACGCCTGTAATCATACGCTGGCTCAAGCAACCTTTGAATCACAGTGTTATAAAGAGATTATCTAAAGAGTCTCTTAATTCTCTGTGAGAGAAGAAGAAAGAGAAAGAGAAGAAGTCTGTATAATTACTCTCTATAACACTGAGAGTTAATACTCTGAGAATCTCTGTAAGAATTCTTGAAGAGAGTATCTATAATCTGAAGAGTTTACAGACTTTGAGAAGCATTATAGAAGATCTGATATAAGAAGAAACAGAGTATAAGTTTTTATAAGATCTTCTATTCAGATTATCTAAACTGTAACTGAAGAATGAATATACTCAGTATATTCAGAAACTGCTCACAGCAGAGATTAATTCTACAGAAATAAAGAATTAAAGAGACTTAAATAGTCTCTTATAAAGAGAGAGCTGAATTTATATATCTATGAATGAGTTTCTATTTATAGAACTTATTAAAAGATATCATGACTCTTCTCTAACAGGTCATTTTATAAATATTAGAACTTATGAGTTACTCATAAGAAAATACTTCTGACTGAAGATATGAGAACTTATAAAGAAGATAGTGAATTCTTATACTATTTATCAGAGTTTATGAGTAGTGTAGTTCAGATTATATGAAGAACTTACTTCTCTACTTATTCTATAGAACTCTTGAGAACAGCTAGAAATGAACATTCTTATAAGTCTCTCTGAAAGTAAGAACATATATAATATCTGTTTTAACAGTGTACTGATAATAGTGAATTACTTTATTAAGATAACATACTTTATATTCATCTATAAGAACTTGAAGTCAAAGAATTTAATTTATATCTTTATCTATAATATGATCTGATTGTATGAGTTATCTGTGAATATTATCTCAGATAAAGAATTAATCTTTATAGAGAAGTTCTGATCTGATCTGATAACTATATTAAAGATCTCATAAGATCTAAGTATAACTTTTCATTAACAGATAGATGATTAGATAGAATATCTGATAAGTATATTAAAACAGTATCTATAATACTTTATTAATTATAATTAGAATGACTGAGTGTATTAATTATCACTTACAGAGTTTGTATACAATAACTTAAAATATATTAGTATAGATAAAATTCTCTTTAAAATACTCACTGAGACTCATCTGTGAATAATCTTAATAAACTTATAAGAGTATACTATAGAGTGTGATGATATTCATGATCAGACTGAGAGAATTCAGAAGATTCAGAAGAAAGTCTGTGAATTCTTAAGAAAGACTCAGAAGTATCAGAAGAGATACTATAACTTTAAGTATATTATAAAGAGTTTTAATAAATATAATAGAGTCTGATTAAGTTTAGAAAATATTATTATATAGAGATCTAGTAAGAAGCTGAATCTCTTATAAATAGAGTCTTATAAGATTGTGAAGAAAGTTAGTTCATAGTTCTACAGATTAAAACTGTTTTTTAAGTTATAAATATATAATATTTTTCATGTCTCTTTACTCTGTAAATATAAGAAATTCTTAGAAGAGAACTCTGTGACTTATCACTCTATTTATAAAGTATTAGAGAATGAAAGAGAATATCAGATTAAAGAAATTATTAACTCAGAGAAATGAGATTATAAGCTC